ACATATGAGCCATTCCTGGCCTATGAGGTTAATGCAACAGAACCACCATCATCAGGCCAAGCTCTCTGAATTGCTTTTTCTTTTTTTTTTCTCCAGTAAAGATTCTCCTGCTCATGAGAACGAAGCATGTGATAGCTGCTAGCGGAGGTCAGGGCTGAGGTTCTTGGGTGTGAAGGGCCACCCCGCGCAAAGCCAGAGGGATTCCCACCCTAATTTCTTTGGCTGTTTACAATGTGCCTAAAAATTCAACTAGGGGGAGCATGGTCCGTTTCCCATTCGGCCCAGCAGGCGGGCCGTGTCCCTGCCATCCGTATGCATCCAGAACCCACTGGCCGCTGTTTACCAACATTTCAATCATCCCATGTTACCCGCAGGTCAGAATTAAACAGCAGAGTGGGAGGCCTTCCGCAGAGCTCTGAACAAAGCTCTTCCTGCTAAAGATATCTGGGAAACGCTGCTTCTAACTTTCCTCATACAAACTACATTCAGAAGTAAAATGCAAATTCAAATACGATCTCACATAATGTACCAAGGTAACGTGCTTTCTAAAATAATCAGTCTTCAGATATTTTTCTCCCCTGTCTTCCATCTCCAGCGAACTTATCCTATAACATTTAATGGGCTACAAAAAGGATCAACCAGGGAGGAAGACATGCCATGGGAAATCAGCCAGAACTGTTTAGAGTCCAACAGAAACTATTTTTTAAGTATTTTATATTGTTAGTTGAAATGGAAAACCATTTTCCCTGTCTACAAAGCTCTGATTTAGCTCTTTTTCCTCAGCCATTAAAAATTTATTTTCCTGATCGTCACATTTTGCATCTCCCATTTAAAAAAAAAAAAAAAAAAAAGTCTTCTTTTCGCCCTTCCTAAATAAAGTTTGAGTCTCACTGATTTCAGACTCAGATTCAAGAAACCTTTTGCTGCAAGTCTACCTAGGCACTGAGCGATGCAGAGTCAACTCAGCCTACCGTCTACAGATTCATCATTTTACAGACGGAGGAATAGGGGCTCCATTAAGTTCATGGACTTTGCTGCTTTCAAAGACCTTGTAAGGGGCATTCCTGGAGTTTCCAAGTCTCTGCTTCCAATGGGAACTCCAGGTAAAATATTTCCCCAGTATTGCTTGCATCTGGCTTTATCCTTCTGGAATCTTGCTCAAGGTAAGTCACACAGTTTGAAGAGAGCTTTTCACTACAGATAATCTCAGCTTGGGATCCAGGATTGTACGCAATTCACAGAAGGATAAACAGCTCTTGACCACTGCAAACAACCTTCACGAGGGACCTTCCCCCTGAGTTCAAATAACCAGAAATTAAGCCCCATGGTTGGTAGAGTTAGTCCACACAAAGGTTCGCAATTAATTTGATGTCAGGTCTTCATTCCTTTCTGTCATTGCTACCCTCTGCCCACGAACCTGCTAGTTCAAAGAGTCAGATCAGCCATCTGGGAGGGGGGACCAAGGCCTGCCTTCCCTCTGTGTGAGGCCTACTGGAGCCTAGGAGGGCTGGCAGTTGGGGTCTGCAGGGGAAGAAAGGCAGGGCATTCTAGCAAATCGATCACCAAGCGAAACTCGATATGCACCAATGTGATGACAAGTACTACTACTGATTATGGCATCATTTCAGATTGTCAAGGCATCACCATTCGCAAGTACTAACGTTAGGCAGAAAACCTCCCAAAACATAATGCTATCTCTGCAGCCAACAAGATAAGCCTCATTCTTCTTCCCTTCCAGGAAGTGGAGCGAGCCCTTCTCACCTGTTTGCTTGCTTGCCCTTGTGTTACCCCACATATTCTATTTTTCATGAGCACAAGAGGCACACCTATTCTTTTTCTGTAGAAATCTCAAGGCCAGACATTTTACCTCTGGCCGTTCTAAGTGCTAAGATGCTATAGAAAACATCACACAGAAATTCTGAGTAGTAAGAACTGTACCTTTATGGTGGTCAAAAATTCACTACCTTATCCCCCGATAGATTACACTAAAGCTTTTAATTTACACCACCAAGATATTGAATGACATCGGTCACAAAAAGAGGTCTCAGTCGCAATTTGTGACCCATGAGGTGGGTACCCCCAAGCCCAAATGGGTAAAACCAGGAGAACATTCCAGAGACATTCGCAAATAAGTCACGGCCCTCCATGGAACCTCAACGGGTTTACTGATGAAAAGAAAGAATAACAAGAGGATGTCTAGAGGGTTAAAAGGTCAGAACAGTAAAGGAAGAATAAGATATTAGTTTGGCCCTAACAGTGTATGGATAGAGTAGGTGTGAACTCAATTTATGCCCCGAAGACTTAGCATAGGGTTACTCCCCTTTGATCTACAGAGCAAATGCTTCACACTGTAAGACTTGCTGACCTTTTTACACTGGTTATGGCATCAGGTCAAGGGTCCTCCATACCTTTGAAAGCACTAAATTTCTTCATTGGCCTTGTAAAAACCACAATAAATAGTGTTTGGGGTCTTTTGCATGGGAAGTTTCTTCGCGTTACTTTTTAGATAAAAAGCCGCAGCTCTTCATTAGAGGGCCCCCTGAAAACACAGTCAGGTGAAGTTACGGAACCCTACAGTGTCTGCTTGTTCGAAGTGGGTTCAGGGACAGAACCTCCTCCCTCACTCTGCTGGGTTCTGCGATATCCAAGTTCTATTGAATGAGTTCATCAAGAAACAGGTACTTCTGCGCTTGCTGGTCACGAAGCTTCTTAGAGTCACCAAGTACAGGTCTGTTTGAACTAAGTGTCTGTGAATTAAAACTGAATGTTTGCTCCCCATCTACTGAGTCACTGAATCAGAATTCAGGGGATTGGAGCTGTTACTTTGTGCCTCCTTCCTCCTGTGGACTGGGGAGGATACCCTAAAAGGGGGATTCATGCAGGAGGAGGACTGGGCCTGAGAGTCCTAGGTCTGAATCATGGTTTTGCCACCGTCTAGCTGGGTGATCCTGTGCGGGTCAACTTCTCCAGGGTCTTGGATGTTGGGGAACAGCCACCCCAAATGCTCATTTTGCCCATTACCAAAAAAGTGTATATCCAAGACCTTATTTTCTAATTATGTCTCATATATGGGAGATGCTCCCTGTTCGTTGAACCTGAGAGATGCTTCTCTACAAAGATTACTAACAAGACCACATTCATTGTTAGGGTTCCCAGTTCCAGACCAGGGGCACAACCCAGCACCCAACTTGAAGCTCCTATAAAAGGAGGAAGAGACTCTATTTTCTTCTGATGAAGTAAGAAGCTAGGAGAATCCTAACACACCATCAGGATGATCTCTGCTGAAGAGGATGGGCACTCAGACAACAAAATCTGGCTGGTTTCCTTTACTTCCTTCAGGGCGTGTATGTGAGATACAGACCTAGGGGAGGGAGGGGGAGAGAGAGAGAGAGAGAGAGAGAGAGAGAGTATGTGTGTGTGTGTAGGGGGCGTGGTGGGGGTAGATAAGGACCTTGCCCCTTTCCCTGGTTTCAGCCCTCCACAGGACTGGCTTCTCAGGAACACGTCCTCCCTCTGGACCCGCAAAGCCCCAAACCTCTGGCTCCTGCTCCGTTGAACCCTCCAGCGCTCCCTATCTCCTTCCAGATGTAGTGACGGCAGCCCTGCCTCCAGGCTCAGTGCTGCATACCCCAGGCAGCGACAGTCCCAGTGCTCCAGGGCTCTGGTTCCTGGCCAAGGAGCGCGATGGCATCAGAACCCGTCTGTGCCCTCTTGGCCCCGGGGCACGAGCAGCACCCTCCTCTCCCTTCACCCTGACAGAGCACGCATGGCACGTGCATCCGGAGCTGTCTCCAGAGCCGGTCGGCTGCGAAGGTGCCCCATCACCTTCGCCTTCCACCCCCGGCAGAGTCAGGCCAAGATCTGGCCAGAGCCCCATCCTCCAGCCAAGCCTAGAGAAATGAGTTTAAGAGGTGTGGGTACAGAGCTGGTGAGGGATGATCGGGTCACTTTCTGGGACCCGGGTACACAGCCCTCTCCACTCCCATTTCTTGCAGGAAGCAGAGCGGGGAAGCCAACACCGTTTAGCTCGGAAGGACCTCCAGATCTGTTCCTCTTCCAATCATACTCATAATCCCATTTAATTCATTGTTCCCCAGCCGGGCAGCCCTGCCGAAAGCCCGGGAGCGGCACCCCGCAAAAAACCCGCGCCCTGCGGCCGGTCCAACTCTCGCCCCACGGCGCCACCTCTGGGCCCCGCACGTTCCTGTCCGCGGGGAGGCTTGCAGTTACCCCAGAGCAGAACCCAGTCAGCGGGCCTTGGAAGTGTCTCACCTCCTTTTTCGACCCGGATCCGAGAGCCCCCCACGCGGATCCCCTGAGAGAGACAAGGAAGCCGGGAGGTCTCTCCCCAGATCTGCGCTCACGCCGGGTCCGGCCCTCTCTTCCCCTCCCTCCGCCTCCCTCCGCCTCCCTCCTCCAGTCCCCGCTCCAGTCCCCGCTCCTCCCGCGCCTCCGGAGCCCAGCGGTTCTCTTCCCCAAGAGCAGAAACTATTTTCTGGGCTAAATTCAGGTCTGAGCAGAAAAGGCTTTCCCTTCCTCGCCTTCTCCTCACCCTGGCTCTCAGGAACCGCAAGGAGCGCGCTCACCCCCCCTACCCCCCGAAAGAGCTCAAGCTACCAGTGCTCCCCGACTTCGCAGCCCAAAAGATCCGGTCGGGTCTGAAACCACCACCAGGGAATGCATACTCCGGAGTTTTCCAGAGACCCTACCTGTCCCTTGTGGCTTGCAAAAAAACCAAAACCAAAACCAAAACCAAAAACAAACAAGAAAACCAACAAGTAAACAAAACCACCCCCGGTAACTTTGGGGGAGTGTGTGCGTGCGTGTGTATGAAAGAGAGAGGAAAAAATCGCGCAGGAGTTAGGGCAACAGCTGCAAGAGCACATCTGGAAGAGGGGGAAGGGGGTTGACAAGGAGGGGGCAAGAAGAGCGAGGTCGCCGGGGGCCTCCCCCCAGCCCCGGCAGCTTCAGGGCCGAGGACCGGGCCAGCCTGCCGTTACCTGTCCCATGTTGATGAATCCGTACTTGCTGGCGATGCGGTTGGCCTCCGCGAAGCCGCCGGCGATTTTGACTGCCCAGTGGTTGGTGTAGACTCGCGTCCGGCAAACGGGGAGCAGGCAGCCCCCGAGCAGCGCCAGCACGCACAGCAGGTCCAGGCGTCCCGGGCAGCCCCAGCGGCTCCCCCAGCCCATGGCCGCGGCGCCTCTCCGCCTCCCTCGCTCGCTCGCGGACTCCGCGCTGGAGCGGCGCGCACAACTAACTTCTCCGGCCTGGGCCGGCCCGGCGCGCAGACCCCGGCAGCCCCTGGCCGATCCGCAGCAGGCGGCGAGCCCCGGCTGGGAGCAGACGGCAAGCCTCGCGCCGGCTCCTAGACCATCCCTGGGGCTGCGGGGACCTGTGCTCCCTGCCCTCCGGCCCGCGGGGCGATCGGCGGGGGCTCTCCGGCTCGCGCGCAGGAGGCGGCGGAGTGGGGCGGGCGCTCTCCCGCAGTTAGGTCTCGCCCGCTGGGCTCCCGACTCTCCCTCGCTCCTCCCCGGGCCCCGGAGCGCGGCGGAGGCGGCGGTGCAGACAGCGGCCGGGCGCCCCCTCTGCTGGCCTGGGCTCCGAGCGCTCGCTAGCTCGCTCCCTGCGATCCCTCCGGCTCCGAGCGGCGCGCGGGGAGTGCGAGTGGCAAGGGCAGCAGCGCCTGCTCTGCATAAATGACTCCCCCCGCCCCCCTAACACCCCTCCTCTCCCACAGCCCCCTCCTCCTCTCCCTCCTCCGCCCGCCGGAGAGCGGCCGCAGCCAGGCACCAACCAGGTCCTAGCGCCGCCGGGTTCTCGGGGCTGGAACCTCCAAGGGTCCCGGGCTGCAAAAGCGAGTCTTTTCCGAAGGGCTGGGAGCAGAGCTCCCGGTGTCGCCGCTCTGCCCCGTTCTCTTCCTTTCCTCCTTGGATTTGAATCGATTTACCGCCCCTTCCTGAAAGATTTAGGAAATCTACTCGTTGGTGCGAGTCAAGCGCCCCAGGATTCATTCATCCTAGCTCTGAACCTCCTTAAACAACGAAGTATTTAGGAAGGTCACTTGCGTGCCAACTGCCGAACAAATAACCCGAGCTTTTCACTTCGTTAATTCTTCATGCTTTTCAGCAACTGTTTATTTTACACGCTCTGTTCCCGGGAGAAGCTACCACGCAGGACCGTAAGGCGCATCAACTCTTGAAAGCCAACCCCGGTGCCTCCCAAGCCAAGTCTGTTGCCTGCTGACTTTCGAAATCTGTGCATCTGATACGAGGCAACGCCACGGGAGAGTAAAATTCCAGTCCCGGAATTGAGCAAAGATGTTTCTATGAATATTTGGTATGAAAGCGGATGGAGACGTTGGGCCAAGGGAATAACTTCATTCATTCGTTCCACTGAGTCTGATGAGGGCGGCTTTTTCTCCACCGAGGCAAAAGTTTTCCAACTTTTCCAAGCGCGGCCCTGTAACAGTGAGAGACTTCAATATAAAAAGGACCACAGAGGAAGTTCAGATGAAATATGGGCCCGCGTCGGCTCCACGGCTCTCTCCAGCGCTGTGACTGAAGTGGGCAGGAGTGAGCTTGGATTAACCCTGTTTCTGCTGAAAAACTTCCCTGCCTCTTTTGGTGCCACAGGATGATTTCCCATGAAAAGGAAATGTATGCTTTATGTAAATAGCTCAACTGGCTTCAAGTATTTACCATACCCCTAACTCCCACCCACCTCCTTTTTCCACCTCCTTTTCCCAAACCACCATCTTTCTTTTTTTTTTTTTTATTTTTTTTTTTTTTTTTACTTATTTATTTGACAGAGAGAGTTCACAAGTAGGCAGAGAGGCAGGCAGAGAGAGGAGAAAGCAGGCTCCCTGCTGAGCAGAGAGCCGGACAAGGGACTTGATCCCAGGGTCAGGGGATCATGACCTGAGCGGAAAGCAGAGGCCTAACCCACTGAGCCACCCAGGTGCCCCGAACATCTTTCTTCTTAAGCACTGGTTAAATGTATCTGAGATTAATTAACCAATCCCCATCTCTAGCTGTGGATAATGATTCTTTTATCTGCCTAGGGCTTCACTTTCTACCCTTCTCCCTTCAGCTGAACCATACCAGCAAACTCAAATTCGTAAATTTAGTTCATCAAATTCAAAAAGTGAAATTCGTAACTCATCAATTAGTAACTAATTACCACTTTAGGACGATTTACACATTGCATAAGGAATGCCATGTTATCGGATCCTGAAACCAGACTCACCAAATAGCATTACCCCGCTCCTTAACCGATGAAGTGGAAGGTCAGAAAAGCTCAATCATTTTGCAGAAAGACATAGAGTTTATTCTGTTTGTTTGACTGATTTGGCACATCTCTTGAGCACCTAGAACTTGCCGGGCATTGTGCTAGACTTTGGAGAAAGGGGAGGAGGGAGAGGAAAGGGAGCACAAAGGATTAGCAGAATTCAGGCTCTGAATAACTCTAGATGTGGTTTATTACTATTGTTGTCATTGTTATTTATAGGCAGAAAAGCATAAGTTCTATGCCTGGGCTTTCCAGTTTCAGTATGGTCTTGCTACCCGCCAGTCCCTCTGCTCACTCCACTTCCTCCATTCCCAGTCTGGAATCCAGAAAATGTACAATCTATTAGATCACTGTTCATTGCCTCCCAGGCCACCTGCATCCATCCCCAGGCTTTGGATGATTCTTCCAGAAGCCTCTGGGATGGGAGGAGCTCAATCAAAATCCAAATCTCAATGTACATCAGTCAGTCCTCCCTTCGGAACTGGGGGCATTAGCTGTCAGAGGATAGGGAGAGCCCGTCTGGGGATGATCCCCAGGAGGGTGGCCCCTGTGAGGACCTCACAAGGTACACCATGAGTCAAGCCGGAAGCATGGCCTGTGGTTTTCTCAGGGACTCTGGTGCCATTCTTGTTTAGGACCACAAAGACAGCACAAAATGCTTCTCTTTGAAAGCCATGTTGCCTCTGGGCTTCCACTTTTGAATAAAATGAAGAGGGAATCCCCAAGCCTGGTCTCCTGAGGCCTAGAGGTTGTTTCCTCAGAGCAGCAAAACTACTCCTTGCTATTTTTTTCTCTGTGGTGTCTTTCCCTTTTTCTTTCCAATGAACACTCATGCCCAGCTTGGCACGCGCGCACAGCATTCACTGCGTTGAACGTGAGACAGAATTGGAAAATGAGGTAGGAAACAGGCAAACCTCTTTTCTGCTTTGTAAACCGATCCCTGGGCCAGCATTTTAGCTTTGCTCAAAGGGTATATTCTTTCGTTTGGAAGCGAATGTATTTGGAAGGGAAAATCCTAGCTCTGTTCCAGAAATAAACAAGATCTGGGACCCCATACATCTGTCAACTCAAAACTCCTGAGCGTAGACTCATTCATCGTCTTCTCCATCACTTTTGTAGCTCCCTTCGCTAAGTTCACTTACAAAGGGTGTGATTCTTAGACTTCAGTGAGACCCAAGAAGCCCCGCTGCGATTCATGCCAAGGCTTTGGGATCTGCCTTCATGAACTCACTAGCCTCCTTGATTAGAGCCAGAATCTTCCAGATAAGGATCAGGAGCTACAGCACAAAAAAAAAAAAAATCATCTTTCAGGACGTTCGGCTCTGCTGGTTCTCACAGTCGGCTCTGCTCGCAATGCTTCAGTAGCCAAAGGAACAAAGAACTAATAGAATAGAACTGGTTAGTGCAAAACCATCCCTAAGGTTGGCAAAGAAGCTAAATCCAAGATTTTTTTGTATGCAAGGAGTAGCTCCACAAGTCTGACCCTCAACTCTTCCTCCTGAGCGTGCCATATGGCAGGAAATCAGGCAGTTCTAAGTTTAACTCTGCCTTATACTTAACAACATATTACTTGATAATGAGGGCCCACTAGTGTTTGGCCTCTCTGCCAAGGTCCCTCACAGCTTTAAAGGAAAATTGCAGTGAAAGGCGATGAACAGAAATCCAGGCAGTTCCGTAGGAGAGGTGAACAAGAACCCTGTAAGGATTCATCCTGAAATGCTACGAACGAGAATTATTCTGGAAAGAGCTTGCCTGATGAGACACCTCATTTCTTCCTCTGCTACATCCTTGGGCTGGAAATTGACCTTTAAGGGCTCTTCTAATCTGAGATTCTGTGAATCAATAATAAATTGGTAATGGACAGTTGGGAGCTGACTGAGAAGGGGGGGAAATGCCGCTGGGAATTTCGCTGCCTGGGAGAAGAGTCACCAAATTTATGGATATTCTAATCCGTTTTCTAGTATATCCGATTCAGGGTTGGCAGTGAAAATTTGTCAGATTTAATGATAATAATAAATGGTAATAATAACTACCATTTACTAAGGACTAGTAATATGCCAGGCACTGAGCCAAACACATTTCAGGCCTTAATCTCATTCCTAGAGCATCAGAGCTGAAAGAGAACCTACATATCAGAGAATCTAACTTCTTTATTTAATAAAGAAGAAAACTGAGGCCAATATAAAACTAAATTGGAAGACAGCAATCCTATCATGGGAAAATAAGTTTGCAATGCATGAATAATATAAATAAAACAAAGGAATGGCCACGAAGACCAAAAGTGATAGCGTGCTATGAACCTGGGATTGACTTTGATCGGACTGGCAAACCAGGGTTAATAAAATAACTTTCAATAGAATGAAAACTTGACTTAATGTCTCCAATTCCATAGGTGTTCCACCACCACCATTACACAATGTCACCCACGACACACAGGAGCCAGGACAGGGAGTTAACTCAGGGCTCAATTTTGTCTTTATGGCGAAATATGTAGCTAATGGGATGCTAATACCCGGCAGATTTCAGGAGGCTTCTTTGACCTGTTGAAGTGGATTTCCTTGGGCGTCGTTGGCCCTCTTCTGTAGACATTTACATCCTGCAAGGACAAGCTGGTTCTGAAAGGCTGTCCGTTGAAAGCAAAGCTTAAAGTGACACCAACTGTCTATCACCTTCTAGCCTCTGCCCCTGATCCCAGAGCAGGGTCCCTCCAAGGTGGATTTGATGGATGGATGTGATGTCACTTCTCACCTTAGACACTAATCCCGAGAAAAGCCAGTACAGAAAGGGTGGGAAAAAATAAAAAAATGCAGGCTAGGGTCTTGGAGCTTCTGCCCCACCAAAAGGAATCAATCCTATATCGATGGTAGAAGCCCTCCTCCAAGTATCAAGACTTGATCTTTTTGGGGTGCCTCTGGACCCTTTTTTTCCAAAACATTTTCTTGGCTTTTATTTTTATTCTTAAACCTCTCAGAGCATCAGGAGTTAAACAACTACCGACTTA